CCCGCCCCTCCGGCCCGGCCTGCCCCGCCCCCTACCGCCCGGCCCCGCCCCTTCTGGCCAGGCAGGGGTGGGTGGTGCTGCCCCCTCTGCGGCCCGGCCGGGGCGAGCGTTGGACCCCAGTGCAATAAGGGACATGACCCAGGAGCTGGCCCCTGCTGTCTGCCCCCGGCCCAGAAACCCCTCCCTTGCCCGCCAGGCCGGCAGGCTGCAGGGGGCGCCGACTCCCAGCAGGGGCGAGTGTTACCCGCCACAGCCCTGAATTGGGACCCGCCGGAGCCCTGCCGTCTGACCCGCACCTGCACGCTCTTGCCCCGCCAGAAGAGCCTTGGGCTTTCCCAGTTTAGCTGAAATCCCATGCAAAGCGACACAAGCTAAACTGCAGCAAACAACTCTTCTCAGCAGCAGCTCTCCACCTGCGCCAAGATCTGTAAAGTATTTAGCCTCGCAGTGCCCCGCTGTAAGGAAGGATTAGTCCCATTTTACAGACAGAGAGCTGAGGCGCACAGAGGCTAAGTGACTTGCCCAATGTCATGTGGGAATTTTGTGGCAGAGCAGGTAATTGAAACTTTTCCCCCCACAGTTTAAGCAAAAGCCAAAACTACCAGCCCATACTTTTTCTCCTATAAGGTGGGGAAAAGACACTCTCTTATATTGGCTTAAGTGTGTCCACATGGAAATAATAACAATATATTATTTTAAATTCACACCTTAGCTTAAACTGATGTATAACCTTCTCCTGACCCCTCGGACTGGATGGGCCAATTCAACTGCTGTTGTAAATTAGAGCAACAGTCTCCTAGCAGCTATAACTAGTCACAGTGCAGAGTGGTCCAGCCACTTCCTCTCGATCTCCTACACGAGGGTCTATGATGCAGCACCATTAGGTCATTTTGGCAGCAGTATGTCACCCACAGACCCCCTTGTGCAGTGAGTGTTCCCCTCCCATGTATGCTGGAGGAGCAACATACAGGGGCAGGGAGAACAGAGAATAGACTCCAATCTCTCAGAATCCGGCTCTTAAATTGTAAGCTTTGTAGGGCATGGACTTGTGTTATTTGTCTGTTTAAAGTTATACAGATGAATACATAGTAATAATGATCCTGGATATGAGCCTGCTGGATCTGCTTCTCTGCTTCCTTTTACTCCAGCAGCAGGTTTCAAGTTGTTACCATCAGCATCCTGCATCCTGGCAGCTGAAGCCATGGGCTTCAGTCACATGGGGAGTGACTGGCAGGGGCGGGTGGGTGAGGCAGAGTCAGCAGTGGGGGCTATATTGCCAGCTCTTGTGATTTTATCACAAGTCTTGTATCTGTGGTGTTTTTTTTAAAGACCCAGCTTCTGGTGATATGTGATTATGTCAGAATCACAACTTTCTTTTGAAAAAATAAATGAGTTTCTAGTCCTCATGGTTGCAGAGAGAGCCCCTGAAATGTGACATGAGTGCACTGTAAAGGCTCAGAAACAAAAAGGCAAATAACAAGACCACAAAGTTTACTTTTTAAAATCTAAGATTTTAAGTTACTTGTTATTTTTAAGGTCCAACTCATGATTTTTGATCGCTTGGGATTGGCAATAGTGAATCCCACAGTATTTTAAGTTTCCTGAATGATTTTTTTTATGACAGGTTTCAGAGTAGCAGCCGTGTTAGTCTGTATCCGCAAAAAGAACAGGAGTACTTGTGGCACCTTAGAGACTAACAAATTTATTAGAGCATAAGCTTTTGTGGGCTACAACCCACTTCTTCGGATGCATATAGACTGAAACATATATTGAGGAGATATATATACACACAAGCAGAGAGCATGAACAGGTGGGAGTTGTCTTACCAACTCTGAGAGGCCAATTAAGTAAGAGAGAAAAAACTTTTGAAGTGATAATCAAGATAGCTCAGTACAGACAGTTTGATAAGAAGCAAGTGTGAAAATACTTACAAGGGGAGATAGATTCAATGTTTGTAATGGCTCAGCCATTCCCAGTCTTTATTTAATCCTGAGTTGATTGTGTCTAGTTTGCATATCAATTCCAGCTCAGCAGTCTCTCGTTGGAGTCTGTTTTTGAAGTTTTTCTGTTTTAAGATAGCCACCCGCAGGTCTGTCATAGAATGGCCAGACAGGTTAAAGTGTTCTCCCACTGTTACTCATTTTAGGTCTTTGTTACACACTGTGGTCCAAAGTTGTAGCCTTGGCAATCTGAGAGGTATCGTTGTTTTGTTGTTGTTTTGCACCCATGAAATATTTAGTTACTCAAAAACAAACCCAAGTAAGCTCCCTGAGAGAGAATGAAATAAACAAATAGCCCAGAACTGTGTATATTCACTTCCTTTTTGTAGTGCCTTTTAATGATGGGGATAGGAGTCATCTTAACAGTCACAGAGATGAAGTTAAGTGTTTATCTATCCCTCCTACCCCCTCTCCACCCTCCTCTCACTCTTTAATATCCCTCTGCAATCTTCTTCTAACTCTTGAACCTCATCTCCTCCTGCTTCCTCCTCCTTCTTGCCTTTTCTCACTTTTTCTCATCCCTTTCCTCTTTAGCTTTAACCACTCTCTCCCCCGGATCATTTCCACCAACCTACAAACATATTCTTGTGTCCACTATCCAGCAAGACTTCTCTCTACTCGACATGCCTCTTTAGCTACCACCTTCTATCTCCACTCCCTGGAGCATACTGTCATCTCCACCACCTAGATTTCCTTTCCTCCATCTTTCCCTCCAGTCTACCTCCTGTCCTCCTCAATGTCCTAGCAAAGTCAGAGGGGCACTTCTCTATTTTTATTCTTTTGATTGGTCTTCTGCCTTTAACACTACTGATCATCATTTCCTGCCATCTTCTGTACGTATCTTATTTATTATTAAGTACCTAACGGTTCCAACCAAAAGCAGGGCCCCATTGTGTGAGGCAGTGTACAAAGACATAGTGAGACGCAATCACTGCCTCAAAGAGTTTACAAACCAAACAGGCAAGACAAACAAGGGGAGAGTAAGGAAGTGGTATTATCCCCATTTTGCAGATGGGTAACTGAGGCTCAGAGAGATTAAGATGACTTGCCCACAGTCACACCAGAAGTCTGGGGTATAGCTGGGAATTAAATGCTGATCTCCTGAGTCCCAGCCTACTGCTTTAACTACAAAACCAGCCTTCCTGTTCTCTAACAGGTGAGCTCTCCTGGTTCTCCTACCTCAGTTACTGTGTCTTCACCATCACTTCATCAATAACCTGAAAGCATATTCTTGTAACTCATAATCTGGAAAAAAAATTCATAGCCCTATCTCCCTCTCCAACTTCAATCTTGTCTTCTTTGTCTCTAGACTCCTTGTCTCCCCTGTCTATTGATGTCCTTCAGGGTTCTGTCCTCAGTCTCTTCTTTCATACTCTTTCCAGACAGTCTCGTCTGCTTCTGGGGTTTTATCTCCCCTCTCTGCAGATAACTTGCAACTGTCTGTGTAACCCCAAACTCTACCACTCTGTCTAGTCTCACATTTCTGACTGTGTCTCTCAAATCTTCTCCTGGGGTATCTTGCTTTCATCTGATCTCTTTATCAATTTATCCTCCATTTATGTGTTGATCACCAGTGCAATACCATTACCAATCCCTGAGCCTCTTAGTTCCCTAGGTAATCCTTTTTACTGGACTAACTAAAAACACAGGGCCAGATCCAGAGCTGGTGTAAATAGGCATAGCTCCATTGACTTCAGTGGAACTACACCAATTTACATCAGCTAAAGATTTAGCTCACAGTTTTAAAACTTAGCTTTCAGGAATCACAGTCTCCTGTCAGTCAGTCAGCGTCATTCTAGAAAGCTTGCCCTTTTGTTTTATTTATAGCTAGGCCAGTAAATGGGATCGTCTACAACTTTGTTATTTATTTTTGTTGTTTTCATTGTTTACCTACTGCACTAACATGATCATCACTTCCATCTTCTGCTTTGAAGACATATATGGTAAAAAAACAAACACAGGATACATTCTGGCAGGATGTCATTGAAGCTTAATGAAAGTATGTAATGTTTGTCCCCAGAAGAATAATTTGATCTTGCTCTCTACAGATGTTCCAACTATTTAATCGGGGTTTAAGTACCTCTGAATGAAGATATCACCTATAATGGATAGCACAGGCATTTATGACCTGTGGTAATTTATATCAGCAATATTCTCATTTCATACTTCTGTTAGTCTGCTAATACCTAAATACATCCTGAAACCTTGTGCACCCATTCTGTTGGAGGCACTCCACATTTGTGGCAATATCATTAATTTTAACATTTGCCCTCTCCCCTAGGTATCCACTCTGCTTCTGTTGTGTCTTCTTGTCTCTGGTATCTAGTCTGAGGCTGTTTTTTGTCCATTTATATTCCTGCTGTGCCTCTTCAATTTTCTCAGGTTCAATGCTGGTTCCACTATTATCTGTCAACTCCTCTAGTTCACATGCATGGTCTGTCAGCAAGACAATATGAACTGAGATCAGAAGCAGTTTAGCGGCTATTCATTTATTTTGAATCCTTTCATGCCCAATTGGTCATGTCCATGAAAGATACTTCTTAGACAAACACTGGAGAGTTTTGAAGTGATGGTGTTTCCTTTTTACTCCTCTGTGATTTTGGACTTTTAATATATTATACTCATTTGTATACTGGATACTGGCTGTAACCTTAGAAGCAGATACACCAAAACTGATAACAGGGAGCCTGTCACTCTAGTGCTCTCTATGTCCTTTCTGCTGAGCCCATGCACAATGGAGGAGTACGCTATCTGATTCGAATACAAAGGGGACAAAAGGGAAAGGAGTAGACTGAGGCAAGGAGTCAGATAAGACTGGGATTGGAGGTGGATAGAAACACTGTGACTGGGAAGGGTAGGAGTGGGAGTTGGGTTA